GTAAGGTATTTTATTAAGGTAGAGTAAAGGTATACAGTATTGTTCTGAAAAAAGAATTAATGCGGTTTTGCATTAATATTACTGCTGCACTACTGTGTGTTGCATTTTACTTCTGAATATGTTCAAGGTTAAATATACTGTTGGGTAGTTTAATCTACAGCAATGCATCATGTTGTAAAAGACCATATTTTTAGTGTTGCGCTGTCCCAATTCTGGCTCCACCTATCCTGGCAGGATTGTCCTCTCATCAGCTCTCCTCTCGCACCGTTGCTATGCGACAGAGCGCTAATCGGGAACACCTGGTGGGAGATCCTGCTAAGGCGGAGCATCTCACGTACTTCGGAGGGTCCTTCGTGCACTTCGGAGGCCTGGCCTTCGAAGTGTGCGCACTTAACTTTGGGACACAGCTATCGTCTCACAACATACAGGCAGTAGGATGGCAATTTGGGCACATAATGTGTTGGCACATACTGTATGCCAATGAAACATTTAATGAGGAATAGTTCCCTCTCGAGAACAGTCTCTGGACATGGCGTTAACGCCTTGGGGACTCCCTTCCTTCCTAACCTACCTGAAATCTTATTGCACAATGCCAGTGAAGTTGCAACTCTCACTGGCCAATGCCAGCCAAGACGGCGAATAGGGGCGGGGCCCCCGCCACTATATAATGCGCCGTATTGGCAGCATAAGCTCAGAATCTTCCTTTCACACATCCTATCGAAGACAGCTGTGGAGAAAACGCAGAAAGACGGATTTCCCTCTCGGCGTTCCAGCATGTCCAACGTTTGCATGCTGTGTTTGGGACCCATCGAGGCCACGCACACTCACGAGTTCTGCATCTGGTGCCTGGGTCTCGCCCATGCGGAGGCAGCACTCACAGGGTCGGGCTGCCCGCACTGCGAAGAATTCTCAGTGCGGGTGCTTAGGGCCTGGAGGAACATCGCCCTCGGTGATTTCTCTCGGCAACGTCCCACCGCCGCCAGCGAGCCGCTGGTGGGACGACAGCCGCAGGTGAGTGACCGCGCAGAAAGGCGCAGTTCACCCCCCCCGCTCTCCGGTGTGCTTGGCAGAAGAGAGTCTTCAACCTGCCTCTGGCGCTTCTGAGATTATCTCGTTC